CACTGAATTTGCTTAATACCTAGATATGAAGTTATTACTACTATTCATAAAGAATATGCAAAGAACACCTCTCACAAAGCAGTTCTACTCAGAACTGTTTGCTACCACGCTAGCAGTGGGACAGCAGCTGAACATGTCATCTGAATTATGCCTGCTCTGCACGAATACCCACCTAACATCACATCTGAAGTTGCTACAGAAAACTAACCCCAGAGCGTCCAAAGTAAAAATGCAAGTTGAAAGCTGAATCTGTAACTTGCCTCTTAGGAACCACTTCGTAAGAAAATTCTACCAAGATGACCAAACTGAAGCAAATTCAATTTTCAAAACCTGTAACTTCACCATACACCACCACACCTTGTCACATCTCATGCCAAGGTTACTCTGAGAAGACCCCCACTTCAGCACAAAGGGTAAGTGATCCACAGTGTATGAAGACCCAGCTTCACTATGACACTTACTAGTGGCTGCTTTTATGAACCTTCAAAGGAAGTGCTGCTTGAGTTGCCATGCCAGCTACATTGCTGGGTAACAGAAAGTAATTTCCAGGATAGTTTACACAGGGACTGTTCTAGGAAAATGCACATTGCTAACCAAAGGAGACATATTTGCAGTGGTGTTGATCCAGAATGTCCAATTGTTCATTCTTCCTGGCTTATGCAGCTACACCAAAGCTATAAAAACTGTTAACACAGACTTGGACTCTCCCGATTATAAATTCAACTCAGGATGAAAGGGATGAAAGTCCACATTTGTACTGAAATTTCTCCCAAAGGCATGGCAGTTGGAAGCGGAGAAGGAACTCGCTAGATTCCCACTGACCAACAAGACAGAAAAGCCGCACGAAGGACAGTTAAGCCAGCATTATACTCACTCTATCACACCAGCCTCAGGAACTCTGCGCTCCATCTGAAAGGTAACAAGGCAATGCATCGTGAATATTAAACATTTAAGCACCTGGCACACTCCAGCCAAACAGAACGAATTGCCAGCTCTGGTGACTCTATATAGGCGCCTACTCGTACGTCAGTGAGAAAAACACACCTCTGGACAGTGGGTAAGCAGGAAGAGCCCTATCACTCTCTTCGTGCCCCAGCAACTCTCAACTGCAGCTACCTCTGCAGGCGGTTTTTAACAATCAGCTGCCCCCATGAAGGACATCCATTTCTAAATTATTTGGATTATTACACCAGTTGCTATTTACCAACTATAACAAAAAAAAATTCCTATCCTTACATTTGGAAGTAAAAATCCAGAGCAACTATAGGAGATATGAACAAATCCCAGGCCCCAGACAACGAGCAAAACACAACACAGACCAGGCACAGCAGGAACTGACACTTTAAAATTGTCTGCACAGCTTGAGATAGCTGGGTTTTGTTAAAACAGAAACCAAAACACAAACACAGTAGTTTAATTGAGCCTGGACTGTCATTCCGGTGGTATCAGGAGTTTATGCTTCTCTGAGCTCAGTGAAGTGCTGAGATGCCAGGAGGTACTGAGCTGAGAAAGTAACAGGGTCAGAACATAGTACTGTGTAGATACCAGGGCTCTGCCATAGAGACAAGAGAATCTTCCCAGACTATCTCCAATCCTTCCAAGCCAAGCAGACAGCCTTTCAAACACTTCCGGCTTATAAAGAAGTGTTCAAGACTTTTTGTCCCCCAATGAGAGTTCCAAAAGGAACCGCCCTCCCACTGCACAGAGCGCAACATCCTTCAGCTGCTGACGGGACATAAAGCAACATCTATGAAACCAATCCCACGTTCTTCCCCTGTAACAAACAAGACAGATACCCCAACTGAGGGAGGAAAACAGAGCTCAAATCACGTTTAGGACATTGCATCACTCTGAGTATTTAGGAGAACACAGTCTTCCGGCTCTCCGAAAAAAATAGTTACGAACAGGTACGTAATGGACACTCAAAGTCTGAGGGTAAACAGAGACCGCAAATTTCTGTTTGCCATACATGCAAGACAGATGTAAACTCTGCTTGGTAAAAGCCCGAAGCTCAGGTCAGTGGAGTTTCTAATTTGTTTTCAAACATGAGAATATAATCCCAAAGTCCGATAATTTTTATCATTTGAAACTGAATAAAGGATGAGATTCTGCTAGTTACCGTGTAATTTTTACCTCTGATGGCTTTTCAAAGACAAATTGCTTTTGAGTGTGAGGCTGATCTTCCCTCACCCACGCCGGTCTGGTGCCTGCAGGGGCAAGGCTGCTGGCCACAAGTGCCTTCGGTGCTAAAGCAAAGAGAGAAGAAAAGAGAATCACATGAAATAGAATTTCACCAAACAAAAAATACACTTTGGAAGAACTTAAAGAATCGTTCTTTGAGGTACTCTCCCCTGCTTGGCAGAGACTCCAGGGAACAGCCAAGCCTACATTACATAAGAGTCAAAATTGCAGAGAAACTGGAATTTTTTCACAAATATTTGTTATTCAATGACAAACAAAAAATCTGCTCACTGGCTGAACGCGAGAAATGGAAAAAAGTCCTTGATTTCTTAGAAACAACTGGAAACATCAGCGTTATTAACATTCTTCTGATACTAAATCCCAAACACAGCAGCCACTGGGACAAGAACTCACTGTGGCCCAGCCAAAAACAGGACAGAAACAACAAGACATTTCTCTGATAAAAACACTTTTAATAAGACCAGATTTTGAAACCAGGGAGAAAGTATGGAAGGGCAGCTCGGGCACACCACTTCATGTGTTTTATTTACACGTGCGAACTGGCTTAGAGATGGGCCTGAAACAGCGACGAAGTCTTCGCTCTGCATAATTCAAAAGATGGCAAAAGTCTAAGCCTCCTCAGGGATAGGTGGAATGAAACGCGTCTGTGACACCACCACTACCCCCCCCTCCGTGTCAACGCCCGGCGCGCACAGCCCCAGCCCTC